CGATAGTTGTTGGTCTTAATAACCTGATCCTGTATTGCACAGACAAAACCCTCGGTTTCCCCGAAGAGGTCACCAAAGCGTAGCCAGTGGACGGAGGCGACTGTGTCTACTTATTATTATTATTATTATTATTAATGCAATCTACGCAGAATGAGCTTACAGTATCATACAGTATATGCATCTTGCAGTCTACTTAGGTTTGGATTTAATTTTATTAATTACTAGCTGGTGTCCGGTGCATTGCTGCTGCAGGAGAAATAATTGTAGAAATATTGTTTTCGGTTTCGTACGGGTGATATCTTTATTCTACAACAGCGCTACTATACCTATAACCATCACGGAACTGAAATTAATATGGGACAAAGTTTTAACGCAATCTGATGAACGGTATAGCGCATGTAGGTAATAGGAAAAAACAGCGAGGAAACGCAGCCAGCGTTCTTGGCACTATACCATGGGGAGCAGGACTTCTTGACTACTTAAATTTTTAGTTTTAGTATTTCTATGTTATAGTTTCTTTTTTTTATTGTGTATAATTAATATTAATTGTAAATATAATTTTAATTATTATTTTTAGTTAACTTTCTGTATTGTCTAAAATCTACAAAAAAAATTATTCAAAATAAACATTATATTATTTTTTATATTATATTGGATAGGATCCCAAACAGATGGTAGCACCCATTCATTTTCTCTGTTGAAATTAGAATGTTTTCAATTTCATAGCCCCGCGAATCATCCTTGGTAGGAATCGGTGTTCTTTTGCAAAGATTTGTGGTCTATCAAATCTGATGTAATGGCGGGGACGATCTTGAAAATGTTCACAGGCTACAAACTTCCCGGAGTGTCAGTGCTTCATGTCAGCTATATGTTCTTTTATGCGGGTTTTTATAGATCTTTTAGTTTGTCCTATGTAAGAGAAACCACATTTACAATCAAGCTTGTAAACTCCTGTGTCTTGTAGAGGGATATTACACTTGACAGAGGGCAAAAATTGACTAACCTTCTTTGGCGGCTTGTACTAGTTTTTGATGAAAGTTCTCTTCAAGATGTAGCTAATCATGTTTGTGACTCCTCTGATATGCGAGGTAAAGCAAGCACACGCCCTACTCTGGCAGGCTTTACTCGGTCACTGTAACGTCACGGTAAGAGATAGGCACGGAACGCGAAGCTTTTTGTCTTGCAATACTTGCTTGACATGCTGAAGCTCGGCGGCTAGATATTTTCTGTCACAGATCCCTAGTGCTCTCCGCAACAAAGATTTTCCAATGGTAGCTAACTGTGATGGATGGTAGTGAGATTCATCATTTAAATATCTAATATATAAAACGTCGAAAATTAAAAAGATAAGATTAATCGCCATAAAATCCGTAAAATTATTTTCATTTGATGTTTAGTATTCGCGTAAATTTAAGAAATCATAGAATAAAGTTTATTCTGTTTATTTGGTAAATATTCTTAATTAAAAACGTTCTCAAAATTGTTGTGGAAGACCGTATTATCGAGACCATCGGTTTACGGCGCCTCTACACGTTGGCCAACACAGTGGCGAATGTAGTGGCCAATAGCATTGGCCAACGTGTAGACGGGGTGTTTGGGCTTGATTGGTATGTATTGGGACGATGGCCCACAAGTTGGCGCTGTTGGCGCGATTGTTGGCAGAGTTTGGTCGCCGCGTCCACACGTTGGCCGCGCGTTTAGTTTGCTACATAGAGTAGAGTAATTTGCTACAAGCTCCCAGAGTGATTACACGCATCTGATTTAAATTTTATATTCAAGCTTTGTAGGGTGGATGCCCCAATTACCAGCCTTTTAGTGCCAATTTCAACTTTAAACATTCCTACTACTTTAATTAGCGCGATTTAATTATTTTTAAACATTTGTTTTAATCGATTAACTATTTATCAAAAAAAAAAATAACGAACATTTATTTATAATCAGATTATTACGAGAACAATTTTAAAATGAAAAAAAATTAAGCACGTCGTTTATACTTGGTAGAACCATGCAGTTATATTAGAAGTATAGTTGTAGCACGAATGGGTCGGCTCAACCGGGGAATTACCACGCTCTCACAGAATATCAGCGTAAAATGGTAGCTTAATGATGCTGTGTTTCGTATAGTGAGTGTAGAGAACCAGAGACCCTTTTTAAAGGAAACGAGGCATTTCATCTTAGTCCTCACGGGTGAGAACGCATATGCATTTTGATTCGTAATCGAGGATAGATGTAGATGTCTATGGGCCACAGTAACCACTTACCATCAGGTTGACTGTGTGCTCGTTTGTCACCCTTCCTTTAAAAAAACGTCGACTTCTTATAATTCAATCGTGCAAGTTTTCTAATCATCATCATCATTACAGCTGTTCACAAGTCCACTACTGAACATACATCCTCCTCCACAGACTGCCGCAAAACATGGTGCTGAGCCACTTTGCTCGTCATGAATTTTTCATTTATGTTCTAAGTTATAATTAGTACCTATTATTAAGTCAGTGTTAATTATATTTATTGCTATTGTTTTTGTCTTTCTCAAAAATAATTAAATTACCAAATAAATTATAAGGTGTTTTTTATATACATCAAATGTCTGATAGAAATGCAAGTACATATTTTGCTAAACTTTAAAATCAAAACCTTATTTTAAAACATAGACTAATCGATTATAACTTCTTTAACTTTAAAATAAGTTCTTATTAATGGTATTTATTCCAGTTTATGATGCACGTAAAGAATAAATAAAGCTAATCGTATATCGTATTTCTATTTACAGCCCCATTAATATCCACTATTCTTTTATAATTATTTTATAAAAACATAACCCCCACACTTGGATTTTCTCCTGTATCGCGGAGGCAGCTTACAAACATAAATTGCATAAGGACACACATCCAGACCCGAAACAATTATTTGTAGGATATACAAATACTTGTTCCGTGCGGGATTCAAACCCGCGGTCCACGGCACAGCCACTCATTGCTAAGCCACTGCGCCACGGAGCCGTCGTTCGTCCGCACATTGGCCCGAACCAAAGTAAACTGAACGACCTTCCAACGTGTGGACGCCGTCACCAACTCTCGGCCAATATATTCGCCACTACATTCGCCACTGTGTTGGCCAACGTGTAGAGGCGACATTAGGTGTATATTGCTGATTATTTATAATGCATATTATCGTTAAAATTATACTTCCTGTGCGATTAAGGAATGGGATTGCAAATGGCGTTGCCACTATTCAGCTCTCGCTCGCACACTGTTGCTATCTGTGAGTATACCCGTCGGTAAGGATTGCAAAAAAAAATACATTGTTGCCAAAATAATATATATGTATAAAATATGTGCATGCTATTGAGATATGAGTAACCATTTTTAAAATATTTCTCATGTATGTGTGTCCGAGTTAACCATTGAAATGGCTTAACCGATTGTAATAGAACTTCACGAAAAAATAGAGGGTAATACTAGGAGTGATATAGAGTAAATTTAGCCGAAAATTTTTGACACTTTATTAAAATAGAAATATAAGATAAAATTTCACTTTTAATGATTATTTTAAGTCTAAAATCTAAATAACACCATATTAATAGAGTGTGAGTGTGCCCCCCCCCCCCCCAGGCAAAGCCGGAGCAGATCGCTAGATATAAATGTTATTTTAAAAATAATGTACCTACCTGCGCATACAATTCTTTTTAAATACCTCCCCTTCCCATTATTAATAGAAAATTTTCAATTAACTGAATAATATAACGTTATTACGATATACCGGTTTTCGCTTTTGGTACTGTGTATGTTGACGGTACGGGCTCGATGAGTCGCCATTTCTAATCTCATTCTTAATCCGTACGGACTGTACTACAAAAAATACTATTAATAGATTAAAATAACATTATTTTGTTATACAAATATCTTAAAATAAATAAAACACCTCTCCAGTTATTCTAGAAATACAATGATTAGTAGAAATTCCACTTTGTATATTTGGTTGTTACTTATGAAATGTGCCAACACGCCGTGAATCTGGATTAAATAATTTAATCTGGATAAATGGAAAATCTTTGTTATCGGTGTGCAGCATCGTCTCTCGATAAATTGCTAGCACGTCACATAGATCGCCTGGAGTTACGAGGAATTATGCTCTGTCTGAGTTGATACTCTGCTCTGTTTGAGTTTATTTATACGCGTCCACTTCGACTACGATTTATATTTATATTATTTATATTGCAAAAACATTCAAAAAGTCCGTAAATGATTTCACAGGAGATTTTGTTAGTGGTATATGAGGACTGAGGCACTAACACTTATAATCGACTTCAAACAAGTGGTAAATTCAAAAAATTTGTACAACAGACTTCAATATAAATAAAATGAGAACATCATCGATGTATTCGAAGTCAATTAAATACACAAGATTATTAAAAAACTACTGGTTGGATCTTGATCAAACTAATATTGGACACATGAGAAGCACCAGCTTTCAAATAAAAAAGAATCGTCAAAATCGGTTCACTCAGAGAAGAAAGTATCTCCTTTTTTTGAAGTCGGTTTAAAATAAAGGGAAAATTCTCAATGATTATAAGCTAATTTGATGTCGCTTGTTTTTGATTTGATTTTGCACTGTACTACAACTGTTCAGTGAGTGATGAGTGTCCAACGCCCGTGCAGACGAATCATGTTCGCTTTGCATAAATAACAACTTCGAAATGAGTTGTGTTCTTAAAGACTGCAGTAAACACTCCAGAATATCAAAAAAAGTGATGGTTTAACATTCCATCCCAATCACGGAAAAACCTTAGAACCGATTTGGATGGGACTTTCACTGGCAGATAGCTGCTGTTACAAGGAGTAACTTAGGCTACTTTTATTTTAGGGTTCCGCGCAAAAAAAATCCACGCGGGCGAAATCACAGAACAGCTAGTTATAAATATATTTCTATGATTAAAAAACGATAAATTCTCAAATTTCTTATATCTACGAGTCTTAGTTGTTCTTTGCCTGTCGCAGCTACATGGAGGCGGCGTGCACGTGGGAGCGACGCATGACTGTCCGCATAGCGAGCGGACGCGTTATTGCGCTGCACACGGAGCGAGCTCGCTACCGTCCCGGCGACACGCTGCGGGCACGCGCTATTGTGCTCAAGCCCGATCTAACACCGGTGCACGGAGACGTAAGTTGTTTTTATTTATGCTATGCTGTAGTTAGGGTTGCCACCCGTACCATAATATATAGTATCGTACTATATTTCAGTCAATTGTACTATATATTATAGAAAGATAATATGGTATGAAAAATACTATATTTTTATCCCAATTCCACTGTCACGCTTTTTTATATTAACTGTGATTGGAAGTCTGGAACAAGTAAGTTTTACGGAAATCGTCATGAATGTAAAATTGAAAGAAGAAAGAAATAAAGCATTTATTAATTTTATTTAATACTAATTGGTATTTTATTTAAAAAGAAATAAAATTGTATTTGTATAGATGCAACACAAATTATGTGTTATTATCATATATCTAAATGTTTATCGCCCATCTGTCATCCATTAATTACAAACTTTTATAGAGACCCTACCAAGCGCTACCCATAAAAAACCCATTCTATCAATTACAGCCTATCAAAAGTCCATTGTTGAACATAGATCCTCTATAGATTGCCTCATAGGAAGGACTTTACCATAGTTGCCACGTGCCTGGTGGTTAGGTGGGTTAACAACCGCAGTTTCTTTTTAATATTTTGAGTTGTTATCAGCAAGATGCGATTTTATACGTGGTAGAGCTATGCTACAGCTATATTAGTAGTATAATTGTAGCACGAATGGGTCGGCTCGACTGGGGAAGGACCACGCTCTCACAGAATACCAGCGTCAAATAGTAGCTTAACGCTGCTGTGTTTCGTATGGTGAGTGTAGAGAACCGGAGACCCTTTTTACTGGAAACGAGGCATTCCATCTTAGTCCTCACGGGTGACAACGCATCTGCATTTTGATTCGTAGTCGAGGATATATGTAGATGTCTATGGGCCACAGCAACCACTTACCATCAGGTGGACTGTGTGCTCGTTTGTCACCCTATCCCTATCCTATAAACAAAAGATGCTGTATCAGTCGCTCTTTATCACCTATTACGACGTTCACGGGACGGAGGTAAATGATTTTTACAAAGCTTATGAAAAACATTATTTACTGATGTATGATTTGTGTGTTACGATCTATAAAACAAAATAAAATAAATAAATCCAGTTCGGCTGTATGGAAATAGATCCTTTGCCTTTAAATTATCTGAAAATTTATAAAATTATGCCCTATTCCCGCTCTCGTAAACTTAGTCTATCGTATTTTAATTTTAAAAGATAAACATTCTCGCGTATCAGCTAATTGCTATTGCTCGGAAAAGATTAAAAATAGATCTTATAATGTACATGCGTCATCATTTGGGACATGTGATAAATATAGGTCGTCACTATCTTAAGGAATTTTAAAAATTACACGATTTTATTTTGTTTGTATGTTTTGACTCTCCTGTTATAGGGTAGCGTGGCCGAGCGGTCTAAGGCGCTGGTTTAAGGCACCAGTCTCTTCGGAGGCGTGGGTTCGAATCCCACCGCTGCCAGTGTTTTGAAGTACAAACAAGTTTTTTTAAACCCATCTCGAACATCGCGGTTTTGATAAGACGGCCGGACAAAGTTATAATTAAAATATTGAGGAAGAATAAAAACAACTTTAATTTCATTCACAATAATCTGTAATTGATCGATTGTCGTTATTCTAAAATCGTAATCGGCTTACATTTAACCAAGTCGCACCAACATCATGTTAAGCCTTGTTTTTTAAGTCTAATAAACATTCTCCTCACTTACAGGTAAGTTAAAGTTACAGCCTACATACGTCCCACTGCTGGGCAAAGATCCTCTCTTTTTTCTCTCTTTTCCCTCTCATTTCTGAGAGGGTTTTAGGGCAAGGAAATATCCGTCGCGCTGCCATATGTGTTGACGAACTTCACATTTTTTCGAAATATTTTTTTTCTCATTTCTCAGACATGCAGGTGTTCTCACGATGTTTCCTTTACCGCCGAGAATGTGATAAATCAGCACTTAAGGTAATGTAGGCGCCAAAAGCAGATTTTTCACGCTTTAAAAGGTGCAATTTTTTGTCATTAAAAACTACGAATTCACATTTTTTTTAAATTCATTATGAAAGTTAAAAATTTTTCTTAGTGAATTATGGTGGCCAAAACACGATTGACACCTTTTTGGCTCGATAGAAAAAGATCGCAAAATTTCCTCAAAATCTACAATTTCAACGTCCACTAAGTGAAAAAGCAGTTTCATTCGAATGCAATGAAATCAGTTTCAATTAAATTCAGGCTATGTGTTCACTAGTAAATACTTGAGTGAATTATAGGTTTATTTTTCAATAAAAAAGAAAATTAAAAAGAAATATCAAATAAATATGGTGCGATTAAATAGCGCGCGGCCTGACTAACCAGTCCATATAAAGCGTGAAAAATCTGCTTTTGGCGCCCACCTCACCTTAAATTTGCAAAGAACAATTTTATTGGTGGCGGCGGGGCTCGAACCCGGGTTGCTCGAGTACTGTGAGATTTACAGCGAGCACAAACAATTTAGAGCTACCACGGTTCCTCCCACTTGTAGATCATCATCATCATCTTCATCACAGCCCTTCACAAGTCCACTGCTGAACATAGGCCTCCCCAAGTAATGCCACAAAGCACGGTCCTGAGCCACCTGCATCCATCGACTTCCTGCATATCTTACCAGGTCGTCACTCCATCTAGTGGGGGGTCGCCCTACACTACGCCTACCGGTACGAGGCTGCCACTCGAGAACCTTTCTTCCCCATCGGTTATCGGTTCTTCGAGCTATATGGCCGGCCCATTGCCACTTCAGCTTACTAATCCGTTGGGCTATGTCGGTCAATCTGGTTTTACTGCGGATATCCTCATTTCTGAGTCTATCACGCAGAGAAACTCCGAGCATAGCCCTCTCCATAGCTCGCTGAGCGACCTTGAGCGTCCTCATACGGCCAGCAGTGAAGGACCACGTCTCTGATCCGTAAGTCATCACTGGCAACACGCACTGGTTGTACACTTTAGTTTTCAGAGATTGAGGTATACCTGACGAGAAGATATGTCGTAATTTCCCGAACGCTGCCCAGCCGAGTTGAATCCGTCGATTGACCTCTCGGTCGAAGTTGGACTTACCTAGTCGGAATATTTGTCCCAGGTAAACGTACTCGTCAACAACTTCGAGCATAGTGCTCCCAGCAACTACCGGCATAGGTGTGACATGGACATTAAACATAATCTTTGTTTTGTCCATGTTCATCTTAAGACCTATCCGTTGGGAGGCACTATTGAGGTCATTGAGCATAGTGCTTAAGTCCTCCAGCGATTCTGCCATAAGGACTATATCGTCGGCAAATCGAAGGTGAGTGATGTACTCGCCATTGATGTTAATACCGTATCCTTTCCAGTCCAGTAGCTTGAAAACGTCTTCCAAAGCAGCGGTGAAGAGTTTCGGGGATATAACGTCACCCTGTCTTACACCTCTCTGCAGTTGGATAGGTTTCGAGCTCTGGTTCTGTACTCGGATAGCCATCGTAGCCCTACTGTACAAACACTTCAGCACTTCGATATACCGACAGTCAACTTGGCACCGCTGAAGGGACTGCAGCACCGCCCAAATTTCGACGGAATCAAAGGCTTTCTCATAGTCCACATACGCCAGGCAAAGTGGCAAATTGTACTCTTCAGTCTTCTGTACAATCTGCCGCAGGGTATGTATGTGGTCTATGGTACTGAAGCCTTTTCGGAAACCGGCTTGTTCGGGAGGCTGGAAGTCGTCGAGTCTGCGTGCGAGACGATTCGTAATGACTCTCGAAAACAGCACGTAGACGCGGCTCAGAAGGGAAATCGGTCTGTAGTTCTTCAAGAGAGCGTTGTCGCCTTTCTTAAAGAACAAGACCACCGCACTTCTGCTCCACGCCTCTGGAGTAGTGCCACCATGGAGGACGGAATTGAAGAGCTTCTGAAGGACTTCAAGTACCGGTGTTCCACCCGCTTTCAGAAGCTCCGCTGTAATTCCATCCTCGCCTGGGGCCCTGCCGTTTTTAAGGTGCTGGAGAGCCATTCTAATCTCGCTTAGACTGACGTCCGGGATATCATCGGAATAGTGTCGGATAAGACTTGCTCTTGGATCGTTACTCACACTTGCGTGTGGCTCCAACGATGATGTGTACAGCTGCCCATAGAACCTCTCAATCTCACTCAAAATCTCAGGTGTCCCGGAAACGATGCTGCCACACTCAGTCTTCAGCCTTGACAGTTGGCTCTTTCTGGCAGACAGATCTCTGGCAAAGACTTTGGAGCCCTGGTTCCGTTCGATCGCTTCTTTAATACGAGCAGTATTAAAGTTGCGTAAGTCTCGCCGCATGCATTTGGAGATCTGTCTGTTCAGTTGCCTGTATGCTGTCAAATCTGTTGACGATTGCAGCCTCATCTCCCGTCTAACAGCCATGAGATTAAGAGTGTGATCGGAGAGTTTTTGTGTTCTTCTGCGGCGGGTCTTGCAGAACTTAGCTCCGACCGCATGGACAGTTTCCACGAGCTTGTCATTCATATCGTCCACTGCATTGCAATCTTGTAGGCACTGAAAGCGGTTGTGTAACTCGAGCTGAAAGTTTTCGGGATTTTGGATCAGAGCACGAGGGGGACGGAGCGTTGACTTCATTAGACGAGACCTCTCCAACTTAACGTTTAGGTTCAGTGTGCCTCTAACCATTCGGTGATCGCTGCCAGTTTTCACCCTTGCGATCACTGAGACATCACTGAACAGTTGGCGTCTGGTCGTCATAATGAAGTCAATCTCATTTTTTGTCGAACCGTCGGGGCTCGACCAGGTCCACTTCCTGTGGGGCCGCTTCTGGAAGAAAGAGTTCATCATAAAGAGTCCCTCTTTCTCCATAAAGTCGGCCAGCTGCTGGCCCCTTCGGTTCCGTTGCCCTACTCCAAATTTCCCTAACTTCAGCTCACCGCTTTCTCTTGTGCCTAGTTTTGCGTTGAAGTCTCCCATCAACACCGTGTAGTGGGTTTTGGAGGAATGTATGGCTTTGGAAATATCCTCATACATTTCCTCCACCTCCTCATC